CATAAACTACTACTACTACTGCTACATGGTTACTGATAATACTACTTCTACTATTGTTGCTACTACTACTACTGCTTCTATTATTATTGCTTCTACTATTACTACTGCTACTACTGTTACTTATTACTACTTCTACTACAACTAATGATAATAATATTAAGACAGTTTTTCAATTACAATCGTGGCTAATTAGTAGTACGTAGTAAGCACTTTTTTAATCATGAGTGAAGTTCAAAGAAATCTTTTCAAACAGTTTTTGAACTTCTAAACAATAAAGAATTGATGTTTTCATTCCACACGAGAATAGTAACTGATGTCTGTGAAAAGGTCGAAGAATAACGTTCAGGAACAAAACTTGAAGCAAATCCATTGCAAATCATGAATTTAAGTTAGACATAAGACGACCCTTTTTCCAACTTTGGGAAGCGGGTCACATTTAAAATAAAACGACGAGATATGCTGTCTTACCTAATAGTACCACGCTAAATGTGCCTCCATTGGTTACTTCAAAATCACCCTCGCCACTGCTTCTAATCATCAAATACAACGTCTGCCACTGCTCAAGGTAAGCGGTAGCAGATAAACTTAGGATCACTGACAAGCCATCAGTCACACTTTTGGTAGCTTTTAATCCATTGGTATTCATCGCGTCCCCATTGACGGTAAGTAGAAGTTCCATAATTCTTGAATGAAAAGAAAAGAATGCAGAACAGTTTTATTCTTTTTTCTTGCTACCGTGAGGGTAGAAATTTTGGATTAATTTCTGTTCATAGGCATTAGGTTGACGTGACCTACAAAGCTAGAGGAGGACCCAATTTTTCCACTGAAGGATATTTTCTTATCGTAAGTTATCGTTTCCATAAGCTGCTTGTTCATCTGATGGACTAATTTGATGAAGTTTGTAGTTCTATTGATAATGGCACGGTTTGCCAGCAATCGACATGTTGTTCTCTCTCCAATCGTCTGCTTTGATCACAAATGGCAATAAAATTTCCAGTCTGTTTACAATTTGAAATAGTAATATCTTACAAATGCAAGTTGACCGCCATCAAAAAGACATCCAAACCTGGCACCGGAGTGAGTATAGAGAACACCCAAAGTCATTCCACGTCGTTTGACCATTCCCTTTTTAAAACCAGTTGTAAGTACAAGCTAGCATGCTTTTATGAGGATTTATTTGGCAAGTGTACATCATTTTTAAAAGAGAGGCCGAAACGAAACTAAATTTCTAAATGTTCATGACCGGACATATTTCGACCTATAATGAAAAAGATCAGTTTGTCAGTTTGAAATCTTGGCCCTCAATTATGCTTAGCCGCCTAAGTCACGACATCTTACACGGAAACCTTCGTTTGGATCCATCCATACGAAAACGATATGCCAGCATTTTTATACAATCGACTCTGGGGGAAATAGTTTCAAAACGTCATAAACGCTGTCTACCAGATCAGTTTGTCAGTTTGAAATCTTGGCCCTCAATTATGCTTAGCCGCCTAAGTCACGACATCTTACACGGAAACCTTCGTTTGGATCCATCCATACGAAAACGATATGCCAGCATTTTTATACAATCGACTCTGGGGGAAATAGTTTCAAAACGTCATAAACGCTGTCTACCAGAAAATGAAAGACGCGAACGGAGATTAATAACAATTAACGCTATCAAAGATACCCAGCGACAAGTACACAAGGCCTTCAAAAATCGTGCAATGTCCAATCTACGGCGGCGAAAGGGTAAACTGTACTGCTCGAAAATGATCGTGTTGAAAAAGCCTGTGGCAATGATATTTTCCATAAGTTTTACATATTGCCTATCTGTTATACATCGTACGCTGAATTAGAATTCTCTATATCTATAAAGATAAAGAGAGAGAAATAAAGTTTTTGCGGAAGTAAAACGTATTTATATAGATATAGCAGCACCATGGGTGAATTACACATGCGTTAAAAAAGGTCTGCTAAGAGCCGAAAATGTCTCAGTTGATAGCTTTTTGTTTTTTAGTAAAGGGTTGAGGATTCGACGTCGAGAATCAAAAGTAGCTCTCAAAATCATTAGAAAATGTAATTTTCCTAAGCTTCCTTTGAATCGTCTTTTCACCAGTCTCTGGGGTCTGTTTTCGCCCCATACCCATTTTCAGTATGATTTCAAGACCGTGGCCAATAGAGTTTTGTCACGATGTGAATTTGAATCCATTTTTTGCTAAAGAAGGACGTTTGTTTTAAATCTTCTATCGGCTTAATACTTGTATTTGTTGACTGCATTTTCTACGCTTTTGTTCGTTGCGATAGTTATTTACTAAAGTAGTTAAAAATGAAGGAAACTACTAATAGTTGATGTGCCACAGTAACACGCCACCCCAAACTCCATGTCATTCCGGTTTTTTCAGTGGGATAATTTGCCTTTTTTTCCTCTGAGATCATTTTCGGTCCCGCATCATTTGCGTTTCAATTTGTGGATCATTTGCACCCCATCTTCTTTCGCAGCTGCTTTAAAGAAATGCACACGGAAAATCTTACTCCTCGAAAGTACACTATAGAAAATTAGTGGAAAGATCAAATTACCTTGTTTGATTTGATAAATGTGACGTCTTCACGACAACTGTGGTAGCCAGGAAGTAAATACCCGGTAGTTCAGCAACAAATATTCCTTTTATGAAATCTGAGTTTGAAGACTTGCACTTTTCATCAAAGTTTTCCCAATCTCCGATAGCTTTCCACCATGTTCCACTGATGTAATAGCTTGTTTTCGATCGCAGTGTTAAGCAGGAGTATTTGTCATTTGAAGTTACCAATGCAGCAAACATTGTGGTGTTTGTTACAAGTAATGATTGCGAATCGGAGTAAACAGAAGCAGCCATCGTTTCAGATTCATTCAGACGAGCAACGACAGCAGCACTATATGACACAATAGCGTCTCCTTCGGAGTGTGCTAAAACAGATAAAACACTGCGATTTGACAATCCTCTAGCATCAAACTTCACTCCAAAGAGGCTTCTTTCGCCTGCTTTTATCTGCAAATTAATTGAGAGAATATATAGCCCACTTTCCATCACGTAAAGTTTATCTACGGAGTATCCACCACGAGTTCTCCACTGAGTTAACTCTTGCCATCCTGTAGAACTTGACCAGTCGGAGATATGCTTTAGTTGAACAGTTGTGTTAGCTTGACCTCGAAATTCAACGGATATCGTGACTCCTATTAGAGACGATATCTCAGTTTTAGGCTGAAGACAGACTGAAATTATTTCGTTCTTTTCTAGGTCAATCAGTCCAACGAACCCAAAGGTGTAGTTTCTTTTCCTCCAAGTGTCATAAATTTTAACGAGACACCCTGCAGACTTTTGACTTCCAACACACGCAGTGACATTTGCAGTGAGGTTTCCAATTAGAGTGAACAAGAGAGATATCAAGTAAGTACCTTTCACAGGTGCAGTGAAGTTTCCTTTATCATTCGGTGATGTCGGATTTGGTTTGTATATGTCGCCATTTATGTAGGCCAGTTGGCCTCCACCCCTTGACATAAATCCTGTTACTGAGCATCCCGGGAACACTTTTTTATTATTGCCATCCTCGAGAATTTGATGAAAACCTGGAGTTTGACGACGCGGAAGAAAACGCACTATCGAAAACCACGAATCTTTTATGGTGGCGAAAGGAGATCTTTTCTTAGATTTTATGCATGGGCTAATATTCTGTCCTTTTCTCAGGAATATCACTCCAAATGCACTAATGACAAATTTGCCACTCTTCTGCACGTCACTGAGTTTCGACGCCGAGATGCCATTATGAGCAATTATCCCATCGATACAAACTCCACTATCAAAAGCCTTGTCACCCTCATAATCTACTATAATTAAAACGCTCTGCAGAAAATATAAGCCACTGTTCTTGATATTTATTGAAGTGGAAGGCGTTATCTTGTACTTTTTAGAAACTGACGGCACAGATTTCCAGTCGGCGACTTTCTTATATCCCGTCTGCCCAAATGCGTCATAGATTGCGGTTGCCAAAAATCCGGCAGTGTAATCACTTTCCCATCGAGAAACTAAAACGGCGGAAAAACTACTGTTTGGCAGTACTTTACACGAGAAACTGTTTTGGCCAAGTAAGTCGATAAATGTTGAAACTTTCTGATTTGGATAAAGGTGTACTGTACTGGATAGCGTCAGCGTGCTGACAAAGGCACCACTTTTTGAATTTAAAGAATTTGACTGAAAGGTTGTTACATTAATGGACTGTCCGTCTGCTACAAAGGCCATTCTGATTTGAGATAATCCTGAGTGAAGTATTAATATTATTGCACTGATGAGGTAAAGACCATCTTCTTTAGCCTTGAACCTGCCTGTAGCTGAGTCAAATCGAGAATTTCTCAGGAAAAAAGGGTCAGACACTTGTTGGATGAGTTTCCATTCGCCAATTTCCCCGCCAGTGAAAATTTCGCTGGCTTCCTCTTGTTTAACTAAAGAGAGAGGATGAACAATGTCAACCGGGTATTCGAGTTTACATAGTGAAAAGAGTAGGTTTGAGGAATAGATGGAGATTCCCCACTTTCTTTAAATAAAGTTGTTACTTACTTACTTACTTACTTATTTAGTTACTATCAATTGAAAGGTTCGAGAAAAAATATTTAAGATTTGAACTCATGAATGACATGAATTTAGGTGATAAAATAAATGCAAAGTACTAGTAAAACAAATCTTCAAGTACTAAAACCTAAACAAAACTTCCCGTTGAGAACTCTAAGCAAGGTCAAGGACAAAACCCAAACACGATTAGTGATGACGATCATCGAACGAGAATTAAGGCCCTACTTTAACAGTCAAAGACACCTAACTCAAAGGGTAAAAATAAATGTATTGTCTTGAATCTTGAAGCACATAACAAACCAAGACTCACACAAGGATTTCATGATAATCTAACTGGCCTAAATAATTCCCAAACATTTAACCAGAACATTTCAAGTTTAGTAGTTCCCATACGTTAAAATTATCAATTATCCTTTGAAATCGAGGTGACCAGTAGTAAGATGTGCCTTTATTCAAATGTTCCGCGACTATTAGCGATGTTGAGAGAGGGAACATACCAAAAGAAATTTCCTCTCAACCTCTTACAGATAGTTAGTTTCAAAAAGTTATAGCGAATCCAAAGTAGTTAGTAGTAACAGGGAAATAAAAACTACATTGATCCTAAGCATGACAAGATCTTGACGATGGTAAGACCCGAGTCAAGGATTAGATAAGGGCTTTTAATATTCTGTCTTGTTGTCTGTCAGTGCCACCTCCGATTGCGTTAGCGATTGCCCAACTGCCATAGCTTAAATCGTCTTCTTTGGGCCGTATACCGCTCAGAAATGTTTTTAATTTCATCGTTAAAAAAAAGTTACATACGAAATTCCTCTCCATCGGCAAAGCAGACTGCTGAGTGAATTACTCGAATTGGAGAAAAATTGCAGGTGCAAACACTATAAAGATTACATGCATTTCCGATGATCATCATGAAAACATTATTTTATTTCGAAACTGCACCTTCCCTGATATGAAAAATGTTCTTACCAGTAAAGTATTTTAGACCAAATTTTGTTACACTCTTTGTGGTTTTTGGAGCAGCCTAAATATCCAATGCAAGTTAATACTACCAATTTTGTTTCATGCCTCAGGATCACCAATCATCCGCCACATACATGACAACGCGAACTAATCAGATGCCTTCAATCAGGAAGATTACTGAGTGTTTATAAGGTAGAATGTAGTAAAAGAAGGTGATGTGATGTAACGCATGTAAATGTAATCACTGTGATGTATGTTGTAAATCAGGCGCGTGTAGATACATACAGGTATAATTAGCCTTACCTGCTAAGATTCCTGGGGTAGCAAGAGAATCTGCTCCAATTAACACCACTGAAAAGCCTGTTTCAATAGAAACGTTCCAGGATGACGATGCTGTAGTTTTGACGTACACCGAGACATTTTGACCTTTTCTAAGTTCTATGGAACCAGCCACATTAAGGGTGACCAGTCTTTTAGGATTTTCATCTAGTGCGTAAAGTCCATTTCTGGGATCTAATGAGTCGTCGATAGCAATTATAGCTGACAAATACCCCTTGCCTTCACCTGCAAAAATTACATTGCAGGACACAAAGTACGATCCATCTTGATGTGGCCGATAAACTCCTTTGGTTGGAAAGAATGCATTGTCGAAGGAGAACAACCCAGGAACACCGTTAGTTTTCCAATCAGTAATTTTCGTCCATTCTGGGAAATTCAGAGGAATGGCTTCTGTAAGTGAAGCTGCAACACCTGGCCAGTCGTAGGGAACAGCAGAAACACAAAACAGTCCATCCACCATATCGCTTTCACGAGAATCGCCATAAACGTAAACACTTAATGAATCACCTTTGTTAAGCGAAACAAGACCGCTGACAATTAATGACCTGAGACTTGAAGAGAATGAATATGCTGCCAATAGTCCGCTGTTACCAGATGAAGGCTCAGTGACTGAGACAAGCAATCGTAAGTCACTCTGACTTTCTGTTGAGGCATTTATATTCATGACAGCTACCACAATGAACACTCCACTAGTGTCCGGCATGAACTTGCTATGATTGTTTTTCAGAATCGTCTCTAGGGATGGAAAGTTCCTTTTTGAATAGTTAACGATCCAGTTTTGTACCTTATTCCATCCAGGACTCATTTGCAATTGATTGTGGGAAGGTAAACTGGCGGAGAATTGCCGTTTAGTCTCCATTTGTCGATCAAGAAAAAGGCCTGAAAAACTAGTACCTGTTAAGACTACAGGGAGTCCCTCATCGGTACACTCAATCCTCATCTCAACACAATCTCCGCGTGTCAAGTTAAACATTCCGGACACACTAGTGGAATATCTATTTGTTCCGGACGAGTACCTCTTCACCAAAGTAGTATTTGAGTTTAAAACAATACTTACATCCACGCTCGTCGATTGGGTTTTGGATTCGAGGTTTATGTTTGATGTAAATTTGTGAATTCCATCAACAATTGAGCAATATAGTCCAACAGAAGGTGAAGTGCCGCTCTGCATCACAAATAAACCTTTGGACCCACTGGTTCTCCAGTGGTTAAGCCGGCTGGTGGTGTGAGGCTCAATAACTTGGTCACGTGATAATACAGCGTGAAAACCTGGGACAGAACCTATTCGTGACATCTTCATCACTGAAAAGGTGCTGTCAGACAACAGGATTCCCGCTGAGCCACTAAGGTAGCAAGCTATGACGTCGTTCTCATAAAGAAGCAAAAATCCAGACATACTTACGGTTTCTGTTGACGTGGTCTTTCCAACAAAACCTTCGAATCCGTTTTTTTTTTCAAACTCGTCATTAATTACCAGACTTGCTTTTAAGATGCCAGTAGTTACATTTGTCAGTTGTAAATTTAGTGCAATAAAGTATATTCCCTGTTCGGGTGTAACAAATCTGTCCTGATATATTTTTCCTCCTGCGGCATCGCCCGCAAAGAAGCCCTTCCGTTTCTCCGTAGCCCATGGTTTGACAAGATTCCAGCCGGCCTCAGGCATGTGAGACATTGCGTTCTCGAGATAGCTTGAAACTCCGGCCTCTAAAAATGCTTTGAAAAAAAGAAAAGTATTAATGACCGAAGGCATCATAGAAAAAAGTATTGTTACAAACCAAATTGCATAATATAAGTCCTACACTGAAATAAGAAAAAAAACAATAAAACATTCCTCACCATAGAACTGAGAGATGGCAATGGAGAGATTAAATTACCCCTAACAAGAAAGGAACCAGCCTCTTGCAGTAAGCTTACAGTTGTAATAAGTATTTCATAGCTCATTTGAAAAACCCAAATGTGGCCTATGAGGTAAAAAACTATCCGTATTTTCAAGTATTGTGATGTATCTTCAGGTTCCCAATGTAAAGTCAGCAGTGACCATTTCAAACAGTGGTTCTTTAGGGTTATCCTCGTGTTTAATAAGCTGAGGCCTTCGTGAGTGATATAAAATATTTCTTAGTTCTTCTTTTGTACTAACTAATCACAGCACGGTATTTGATCCCTGAGAGACCAAAGAATAATAGAGCTCTCACCACACAACAACTGACACTTATTGATCGTTAATGTAGTTATGATGACATCATCCTTTAATAATTTATGCATAAGTATGAGTCTAAGAGGGAAATTGTGATCCATGCGGGAGTGTTTTTAGAAAATGCGCATGTGTAGTAAATGTAAATCTGTTTTAAAACATTCATTATGTTTTATACGTCAAAAACCTCACAATTTTCAATTTAGCTCTTCCTCCGCCTTCCTCTCCTCCTTCTCACACTTCTCCTCCTCATCATAGGTTTAAGCCATCGGCTTAAACCGACTCCATAGGTTTAAGCCAAAGGTTTAAACCAGCTACTCCTCCTTCTCAATAATACAATTCTCCTCCTCAGGGGTTTTTTCGGTCAAGCCAGAGATCTCCATCATGGTAAAAATTGTGACAGATAAACGGATAAAAGAATGTTGTTCACTGACCTATGTTCATTTGTTGCATTACCTCCACGTAATAAACCACGAACGAAAGACATGGAAGATATGGTAACAGAACCACCTGCCATGGAGGATGTGGTAATAAAACTGCTTGCCATAGAGGAAGAGACAAGAGTTAGGCAGGAGAGCATTATTGAAACTATTACGAGAAAAACAATGACAGTTTGCATGAACGTTACTTAAGGACGCGAGAGAGTCACCTGGCCTATTGTAAACAATATTACCAAAAGGAAAAAGGACACATAAGGAATACTGCAAAGACTATTACCTCCAAAAAAAAAAAACGCTATCGTTAATAAACAAAAAGATTACAACCAATAAAATAGAGATAGCCTTTCAAAAAAAAAAACCAGAGAATATCCAGAGCAAAATCATCGTGAAAGGATGAAAGCCTATTGTCAAAAGAATCGAGATCACATTTGTGAATGGATGAAAGACTATCGTCAAAGGAATCAAGATCGCCTCTGGTTATGGATGCGAGACCAAAGCCGGAGGAAACGAGAAAAAACTCTCCTCCAGCTCAAAGTGAATGAGAGGAAGAGGCACTCACACTTTCATTACTTTCTGCATGTAACGAGGTAGTGCACTGTGCTTCTTTTATTCACTAAAGCTCTGTAAGGAGTGAGTTGATAATGTCACACCTTCGTCACTGTTAGACACCATTCAGCCGTTCAGACAACTGAAACCGTTACGAGGAATATTCATGTTTGAACCCAAGGGATAACGAAAGCCATGAGACGTCTCCAACAGTGAACTTCCCTCAATCTCTAGCGAAAGATTCTGAAATCTTCAGCCAAATGAGACCTATTCTATGCGAGAGAATAGAAATAAGTGATGCTTTCCGATTCAAGACACCTTGAAGCATTTTAGTAATGGGACCCTCTGGGTGTGGCAAGACTTGTTTAAGCAAGTCGTTAGTCCTGGACCATTTAGACGAATTGTTTGTAAACCCTGCGAACGTGATTCATTACTGCTATGGCGCATTGCAAGATGGTTTTCGTGAGATGCAAGAAGAAGGTTTTAAGTTTCACGAAAGCGTACCTGAACAAGGACAGTTGAAAAAATTGTTCCCTAAAGAAGGTGGTTTTCTGGCCCTTGTTCTGATGACCGAAGGAGGGAACAATAAAGAAGTGCTGGAGCGTTTTACCAAACATTCTATCATCACAACGTCACCGTCATCGATTTGTTTCAAGACATGTTTCCACAGCGCAAATATGCTAAAAGTATTTCGAGGAATGCCCATTACGTGATCCCTCTCAAGCACCCTCAAGAATTTATTATTGCAAGCATTTCCTATGTAGTGGCAAGATATTATGGAAGTGTACCTGAAAGTTAATCAACGCCCCCATAGATATCTGATCTTAGATTTATATCCTGCCAGTAATGACAATCGGCGCATGTTCAGTCACATTTTGACACATGAAGGATGTATACGATTGTATCAGAACAACCACCGCCACGCACACATCGTACGAGAAACTTTTGTTTTATTGAATGACCATCATGACCGATAGTTCGCACGACAAAGATATCTTTGGTAACCCAATCGAGGACTATGACAAAAAAAGGCAGGAGAAGAGGAAGACAGCCATGATGCGTTGGAGAATGATAGTGGTAGTGACTCCGAGACAAAAGACGTACAGATGGGTAATTATGATGATGCTGACGAAGACCACGGCAATGATGACAACTATGCTGATGTTAATCCATGGGTAGAATTGACTGATCAAGAGCAAGAATCTTTGAGTGAACTCTTCGATGAACAAGTTCAACTCCATCGACTACAGGGAAAGTCCGATTAGTTCTCCGAGAATGCTGCTTTCAATTCCATCTTACTTGGAGCTAGACCTATATTAAGAAGGATATACTTGCAACGTCTGAGGTGGAATAATCGTATTAAACGGGATGAAATACACAGACAAGTCATGCAAACTGTCTGATGCTTTATGAATGAGGACAATGCGGGTTTTGACGAGGCGTTAAAGTCAGCCATTGAGAGAAGAAACTTCCTATTAAATCGACTTTTCAAAAAAGACCCCTCTTGGATCAATCTGAAGAAGAAAAGGAAGAGGAGGAGGAAGTAAAACAGAAGGAAGAACTTTGAATGAAAAAGGATGTTTTACTTTTTGAAGAAATGGTCGAACTTGAAACTTTTATTTCTGGTTTGATAAAAAAAAAGTTGAAATTTGAGAGCGACGAGGTCACCTTCATAATTTAGTCATGTTATATTTGGGGAATAGAGGTGCGCAAGTGTGGGCAGGTTCGTTTGTTGTACTTTCCGAGATCTGTGTTTTTCAGTAATGTTCATGTTTTTTTTTTCTACCAAAAAACCTTTGCTTCTGAATATTAAGAGATTTCAACAGCCTCAATACACGCAACTACACCCTGTTGATTTCAACTGTATGAACAAAGAATCTAAACATATTCAATAGCTTCCAACCTCCTAACGCCCACTAGAGAAGAATGTGACTTTCATGTCACACATTAAGAGCATGATATTGTCGATTCTTAGTTGCAAGCGTTGGCCCCTTAGAACCGGAAATATAATGGTTCTTTTTTTTAATATTTTTAAAAGATATTCAGGGTAGAATGTTAGAAATTTCTGGATACAAATGCAAGTTTTTTCCTTGGAAAGTGTCATTGAATATTCACTGACTCAACCAAAAAGGTCCTGAGGGGTTCAGATCAAACGTACGTTTCCATCGTTCAGAATGATGAACATAGCTGAAATGTTACCGAGAGACGGTAGTGTCATGTTTGTTTATGAGATTCTGAGTAGCCAGATGTTTTTTCAAAACGTTCATGAAGATGGTGGTCGAATTTACTTTGCCACTCGCCTTTTAGCTTTTGGTAGACCAAGTGAGAAGCTGTAGAAAGATTTCGTTATGTTCTCCACAATGTACACGCAATGTAAAACTACCCCAATTGAGAGATCGTCCTGTTTTTGTAAATTAAAGTTTAGGTTTAAGATCAACAAATCATGTCTATAGTTTATAGGCAATAAACCCTTGAAGTGATGAATAAATGTATATGTGAATATATGAAATCATGTGAGTATTCTGACCAGTTACATGCATTTTAAAATTGCAGCCATAAAAAAAAGATTCCTGTTAGCACAGTTTCAGTCTCACGGTCAAATGATACTGTATTTGACGGTGACTTACAGAAGAATGGTTGTGTTCCATAAAACCGTATTAGTCAAGGTAAGTTTACGAAAGTTCCTATAAATACAAGGTTTTAGGTTTTTAACATTCTTAGTTTATTATAATCTGCATCAAACAGTAGGATAAGTTCTTGCTTCTTACCTGTGCCTTACCACTTACCTGTGCTAGGTAGAAACAAAGAACCCAGTGAAAACAGCAAAATAAAAGCCATGAAGGTGATGGACGAATAGTGATTCTTGAAACAAAAATGATCTGAATAGTTGATTTTCATCTATAAATCAATGAAAAGATCATTGATAAGTTTAAGCAGGTAGAAAAGACCTTAAGTGTTGGGCGAATCAAGATGCGGTTTCTAATCGTGAACCAGGCAAAGAGATGGGGAGGAGGTTGGGGAAGGGCGCCTAGGATTGTTAATGGTAATCTTTTTGCTAAAGAAGAAAAATAACAGAATACGACTATAGACTCCGATTCCTGAACCATACATTTTATGTGTACATTTGTGCCAGTTAAGTTGGTCAACAATAATAATGAAGGAAACTCTGTTGCATCGGAAGAGAAATACATTAATTTAAACATTTCCGTCTCGAGTACGACGTCAGACGAATTTTAACGTATCAATCCACACGACCTAATATTTGCCCTCTTCAACAGTTCTCTAAATGTAACCTTGGTTTCAATGAGATTTTAAGACAGTACACACACCCTGCTGTCGCAAAGGTAATAATGCAATAATTTTGAGGAGACTAACACTGAGTTGACCTTTAGCTCTCCGCTTAACAAATCACATACACCCTCGGAACGAAGCGGAGGTAAAAACAGCTACAGAGAACCTCTGCTTCTGAATATTAAGAGATTTCAACAGCCTCAACACACGCAACTACACCCTGTTGATTTGAACTGTATGAACAAAGAATCTAAACATATTCAATAGCTTCCAACCTCCTAACGCCCTCTAAAGAGGAATGTGACTTTCATGTCACACCTTAAGAGCATGATATTGTCGATTCTTAGTTGCAAGCGTTGGCCCCTTAGAACCGGAAATATGATGGTTCTTTTGTTTAATATTTTTTATAGCTTTAAAGGTTAGAATGTTCGAAGTCAGTTCTATGTTGTTTGAGCACATGATTTATAAAATCCTTGAACGAGGAAACGAACTTAGAGGGTTCATTTGCCTGCTTTGTTCAGGATTTTCGTAATAATGAAAAGTATCAATCAACCCCACGTCTCCCACTGTACGCCTCATCCTGTGTCATTAGATGGCTATCAATATTCTTACTGAAAAAGCGTTTTTAAAAAAATAATCATGGGTGTCTACAAAAGGAAGACCGAGCAACCAAAACCGAAAACTCAAAAAAAGTCATGGAAAACAACATGGGAAGACGGCTAACTCACAAAACGTCGCTCTGAGATACTATGAAATACACGTTATCGATCGGGTTATCGAGCTGGCTCATACTACAAAACAAAGTCCTTCACTTGAACGCTTTAGCAGCCCCAAAAAGACAATGATAAAAACGCAACGGACACACAAGGAGTATAAAATGTTCACATTTCGGAACTTAGCCTCAACAACAGGAATTAGTTAGTTTAACTGACAAGAGAATCTATCATAGTGAAACATTTAAGTTCTGCGTTAACTTTTTTTCCTTCGTTTTAGCGTCGAATGCGTTTCCTTATATTGGGTCAGTTGGTCGGACTGAAAAAAAAAAAACGTAAAAAAAAAAAAATTAACAAGAATCCGTTTATATGAAGCCTGGTTCCCTAGCATTATTGCCGTGGAGCTTGGAAACCCAAAATCAATAGCAACGTAGATAGCCTAATAAGGCTGAATTGCATGATTATATATAATACAATACTGGCTAAAATGATAAATTATATTTAAAGAGCATATTATTTACAAGAATGTTGGCGCCAACGACTTTCTTTTCTTTTACAACACTCCCAGAAATTTCATGCCTTAGACAAACAAATTCAACACCTAATTAATCTTTCTTTTTTCATGATTGTTGTTGCTGCTTTTTTTTTCAGTTTTTTGCTCTATTTTCATAACTAATTGCTGTAATTTGTTTTGCTGTTTTTATTCTTACAAAACATTTTTGTAAGAGTTCCAATACTTGTGGATCATCCACACACTTTGCAAACATTTGGCATGCAGACAAGACAGAGGTAGTCAATGTTCCCTTTGAGGAAAAACACCTTTTATATGACGTCTTCAATTTACTTTATTTGAAACTCTGATCTGAAAATATTTGTCAACAAGACTTGTTAGTAGTGAGAAATACCAACTAAGTTTCCTTTCATAACTTAATTTCTTAAATGTCCCAATCACTGGATCTCCCAAAAAACATTACATCTTTTTATTTTTGGTGCAAATTACAAGTCCTTCTTTATATAAAAATGAAAAGTGCTAGTCACACTTCAATAATAACAGCTCTTAAGTTTACTTGTTGTTCTTCTCTGTCTGTCAGCTATCAACAAAATTGTTTTATACTTCGGGCAGTGCATAACTATTTGTGGACCAGAGTTCCAACGCACCTCTGTAATCGCATATAGCTACTTCTGTCTCTTGTACAAATGTTTCTCCTTTGTAAGACGCACTCTACTCTGTTGTCAATACTGCTTTAAGTTCAGTGGAAACGACTGACTGAGGAATCGAGATGGCGGTGTTGGAACGTGTTGCTGAACGCTTTCTACGGTCAAGCTTTGTAGATTTAGGTACTGGTACACTGGGATCATCTATGTATCTCTTATACTTCCAATGTGGTATCCTTCTTTTATAAATATGAGGGTAAAAGACGATTTGTAGTCGCATTCAAAACTGTGATTGGCTTGTGTTATTTCTCACCCTTGCCATTAACACAACTCAAGTGAGTTTCGAGTCTTTGTTTCCTCGACAACTTTCGGCCACAAAACGAGCATTTGTAATACGATCGATTCTTGTCGATTATTTCTACATAGAGTGAGCTCACATCTTTATTTATATCACCAAGCTATCCATCTTCTAGAAGCAGAGAACCGGTCGGAGAAGTCAGAATAAAATTGGGCACTTTTCGCAACACTGCAATCGGCAAGCCAGCGGATTCTCTCTGCTAGCCAATGACAAGTCCTAAAAGATCCACGTGATCATGCCCGTGATCGGAAACAAAGAAGACTCCATTTGGCGCTCATCTTTGAATGTACTTTTCATCGGTTGATCGCTTTTCTCAACTGTTTTGCTTAATATAACATTTCTAAAGATAGCTTTTATTGTGGTTCAATGGGAAAACGAGAATAGCGTGAGTGTTGTAAAAGAAAAGAAAGTCGTTGGCGCCGTGGAGTTAAAAGAAGGGACAACAGTTGACATATTGACTGGTACAAACAAGGGTCGAATGGCCGTCTGTAAAGCTACGATTTTGAAAGTTTGTGGTGAGTAAAAATTGCGATATTCGTTACGTGATCAAAATCTTATAAAAGAATAGATGTAGCGGGTTGAATTAAGCTTACATAACGCTCGGCGCAACTGAAACTAGAATAATTCTGAGAATCGAATCGGTCACTTGCATGCCGCAGTTTCTTAAGCTTATTATGCTTTACAATGAAATAAACCTATCAGTAAGGTTTCAAGATTCCTCTAGTCACGTTTGGGAACATTCAAGATTCAAAATAGGAACTGTTATTAAACAAACCTTAGTACATAAAGAAGCCCTCCTTGGTAAAAACAAAATAATGTATTCAGCCCTTTTTTAGTAAAATCCATGAGAGAGATGTACTAACTCCAATATGAAAGTCACTCAATATAACAGAGATTTCTCAATTTGAGAATCCAATGAATGCCCTTTTCCTCATAGCCATCTTAAAAGCCTGGTCTGAGCTTTAAATATACATATTTTAATATATTATTTTTTTTCAAATTCAGATGTCAAGGAATCCAGATACAAAATGGTCAAGGTTCTTGTTGACAACCTCATTCAAGGCCAACTCATTGTGAGCCCAGGAAAAAAAATACAAACAGTACAAACAGCAGCTAAGTTTGCAGTTTAGGATAACTTCATTCTAATTTATTGTTATGGTTACAAAAAAAAAAAATCAATTTTATTTGACTGTAATTAGCCCCTTCACTCCCAAGAGTGCTTGGTTTTCAAATATAACTTAAGATATTGTATTTTATGGAAAAGAATCAACAGATTTTATTCACAATTTGTGTCAAACCAAATTTAATGATTGATTAGAACTATTTTATATGAATAGCTGTAATTGAGGATTAATCCGTATGAATTTTTCAAGGAAAGAAAAATAAATCAAATTCCATCCTAATATTACCACACATTGATGTTAATAATTAATCAAAAATATTTTACATGTAAGCCTTAAATTAAGCTTCTAAATAAATTTCATTGAATACTTGAATTTTAGCTGGGTTTTTTTAATTTAAAGTATTTAATTTATATCATTAGCCTCAAATTTTTGCTTAAAATTCCCAGTAATTCTGAAACATTCCTAAAAATTCCCAAAAATTCTCAGAAATTCCCAGAAATTCCCAGAAATTCCTAGGAATTTTTTAGATTTACAGCTTTTCAGGGAAAGTCATTGGTTCTCTGAGTTGGAATTCCTAGGAAATCTTAGGAATTCCTGGGAATTCCAAGTCCTGTTGGCTATAAACTTGGAATTTCTGGGAATTTCTGGGAATTTCTGGGAATTTCTAGGAATTTCTAGGTTTTTAGAACCAGAGTTGTTATGGTTGGGAATTCCTAGGAATTCCTAGGAATTCCCAGTCCGAATTTACCGTGAAAATTCACACCTTTATTCCTAGGAATTCCTAGGAAAATCCTAGGAATTCCTAGGAATTCCAAAAGCCATTTCGCAAGGGTCACGCTGTTCTCGTTTTCCCATTGAACCACAATAAAAGCTATCTTTAGAAATGTTATATTAAGCAAAACCGTTGAGAAAAGCGATCAACCGATGAAAAGTACATTCAAAGATGAGCGCCAAATGGTGTCTTCTTTACTTTCGATCATGGGCATGATTATGTGGATCTTTTAGGACTTGTCTCTGTCTTTTCTGCATGCCAAATGTTTGCAAAGTGTGTGGATGATCCACAAGTATTGGAACTCTTACAAAAATGTTTTGTAAGAATAAAATACAAATTACAGCAATAAGTCACGAAAACAGAGCAAAAAACTGAAAAAAACAACAACAACAACAACAATCATGAAAAAAGAAAGATTAATTAGGTGTTGAAATTGTTTGTCTGAGGCATGAAATTTCTACCTAAGAATAATGTCAACAAAAAGT